CAACTCCTGCCAGGACTCCAAGGTTGCTTGCTCTTTCAGCACCTCCATAACCATAGCCGAGACCTCCGTAGCCGTAGCCGAGACCTCCATATCCATTGCCAAGACCTCCATACCCATAGCCAAGACCTCCTGCTGATCCAAACCCAACGGTGGGAGTGGAAGCACAGGATGGGACAGCGCAGGATGGACCACAGTCAGCCATTGTTGTGTAGAGGTGAGTCTGAAACCAAGAAGACCATGGGACAAAATGAACATGTGGAATGCTACTTCAATAGGGAACAGAGGGGACATTTAAATCAGCTGCCTTTGACAGTTCTAACGCTATGCCCTAATGCTTGGGTTCTTTATTGTCTTCTCTTTCTTTCACCACAGCCCTTCTCTTCATTGTGGGTCCCAAATCCAAATACTGGTAGATCCAGGAATGTCTGAGAACGTCCTCTATCTGAAACTCTGGAGAATAGTTTCCAGTCAGTGAGGACAATACTGAACTAGGAGGTCCAATGGTCTGTCTTGGTAAAAAGCAACTCTCTAAGTTTCTATTTAAACCAGACCTTTAGCTGGAACAATGAATGCAGGAATCTTTTTTCTTTCCTAGAGGAAGGGCCATTACTCACTGGCAGAACATATGCTTTGTATTCGATCCCTGGAATCTGCAGGTTGGGCTGGGAAAGAATCTCTCATCTGAAACCCTGGAGAGCCTCAGTCAGTCAGAAGAGACAATACTGAAGTAGATGGATCAGTTGTAAGGCAGCTTCCGATATTATTACTTTCTTCATCTGCCAAATCTTCCATGAAGAACAAATGTATATTAGCCTATGCAATTAATACTCCCTTATGCTGTTTTTTTTTTATCTTCCTGATTGAATTCTTGCTAAGGTTACATTGCTGGGGAAATCTGAAAAACATTCCGTGGAATGCTGTCTTGTGTCTCAAGCCCAATGCATGGAGAGTCATTAATGCTAAATTTGTACTTTACAATGAGGAAAGCTGGATTTGCAAAACTTGTGATAGAATAAGACTCTCTCACCAGGAAAACAAAAATGTCTAGTTTTGAAAGAATGCTATAAGATGTAATAATAATAATAATAATAATAATAATAATAATAATAATAATAATTTATTTATACCCCACCCATCTGGCTGAGTTTCCCCAGCCACTCTGGGCAGCTCCCAATGGAGTGTTAAAAACAATACAGCATTAAATACTAAAAACTTCCCTAAACAGGGCTGCCTTCAGATGTCTTTTAAAAATAAGATAGCTGCTTATTTCCTTGGCATCTGATGGGAGGGCGTTCCACAGGGCGGGCGCCACTACTGAGAAGGCCCTCTGCCTGGTTCCCTGTAACCCCACTTCTCACAATGAGGGAATCACCAGAAGGCCCTTGGAGCTAGATCTCAGTGTCCGGGCTGAACAATGGGGGTGGAGAGGGCTATAGTGATTTGTTAGAGCATCTTCTTTGCATGCAGAAGGCCCTGGGTTCACTCCCCAGCATCTCCAGGTAAGGTTTGGAAGAAAAACCTTCCTTGAAGCCCTGGAGAACTGCAGCCAGTCAAACATTACAGTGCTGGATGGATGAACACTCTGGTCTTGGTGTAAGGCAACTTCCTAAAACGTTTGTGTTCAGAAGAAATACATAGAAAATAAGTCAGCCAACAAAATGGAGGATGGAGGATTCCTGATGGAATAGCAACATAAAGCTAAAGCGACCCCTGACCCTTAGGTCCAGTCGTGACCGACTCTGGGGTTGCGGCGCTCATCTCGCTTTACTGGCTGAGGGAGCCAGCGTACAGCTTCCGGGTTATGTGGCCAGCATGACTAAGCCGCTTCTAGAGAACCAGAGCAGCGCACGGAAATGCAGTTTACCTTCCCGCCAGAGCAGTACCTATTTATCTACTTGCACTTTGACGTGCTTTTGAACTGCTAGGTTGGCGGGAGCAGCGACCGAGCAACGGGAGCTCACACCGTTGAAGGGATTCGAACTGCCGACCTTCTGATCGGCATTCCTAGGCTCTGTGGTTTAACCCATAGTGCCACCCGCATCCAGCTGAACCCTCTAAGCAGTGCAAACAAACAAAAAAAAAAGCACGTAAAGACAAGATCTTAACATACATGCACACATTTGACTTACCAAAGTCTCTGAGGAGTACAAATGGAGAGAAGGAGATCAAGTCAAGGAAAGCTGTTGGGATATCTCAGCCCAGGGAGCCCTTTTATACTCTTTTGACTGTATCCCCTGATGGCCCCACAGCTAGCTGGGATACACCCCCTTTCCCTGAGGCTTTAATTAGCAGGCAATTTATGAATTGCATCATGCCCTCTAATTGTTTTAATAAGAAAGAAAAATGGGGCAAAAGAGTTCGCATTTCCTCTGCTCCCCACAACGCTTCTTTCCTGTTCTCACCCTTTTGATCTTTGCATTCCCATTCTTCCACCAAAGGAGTTAATAAAAAAATTAAGAAAATGTAAAGATGCCTTTGTATGTTCATTTCGGACAGATCAACAGGTGCTATGGCTTTGAATGGAATTAAAGTAGCTGGAATGGCTGGAGATTTTATCAGCAGCCTACTTGACTTCCATATCCAAGATTTCGGCTTATGATTCCCTTCACAGCACATAGCCAGGGTTCTCTGCCTCCAATGCCTCTGAATACCTGTTGTTGGAAATCAGAATTGGGGAATGGGACATTGAGTTCCTGTCCTTCATATGGGATTCCTATTGGTATCTGGTTGACCACTGTGAGAACAGAATCTTCCTAATGCTCTAACCTTCGTTGATGCAAGGATGTCATATACACATGTATGAATAAGTGTACCCAATAAAGCCAAAATGATTTTGAAGAGTTAGCAAAAGTTGACAATTATTTGAAGCCCACCTCCCAAATAAAACGACTGAAGAAATAAAAGGATAATCTAGGCAGGGATGATAGGAAACCCCTGGAGGGCCACTTTCGCCAGCACTGTACTAGACATATGTCCCAACCAATCAGGGATCACATATTAAATTCACTTGCAATATTAGCAGCTCCTGGTTTCCTGAATTTCTAGCCCTCCTGTAACTTGTAATGTCAATGTGGCTAACACGCTAACACAATGCAAGGGTAAAATTTAATAATGATGTTTAAAAAATCCTTCGATAGCTTCCTGTTTCTATCCATCTTTGAGATCAGCAAGGCAAATTCTACCCACTCTTGCATCAATATGCAAGATCAGGTGGGCAGATCGAAGAGATGGTGCCTTCATGGTGGTCAGTTGAGATCTGTTGGTATCCATCTATCTCCACTTACTGAAATGCTAAGGTTATTTTCAACTAGCTCATGTTAGACCTATTGAAAGCAATGGACAGGGGATGCCAGGAAACAGGGAATTATGTTCACATGTGGTGGGAGTGTAAATATGTACAATTTTTTTTGCCAAAGGGTATTTTAGGAGATAACAGAAATCACTGGGTTACAGCTGACAGAAAGTCTAGAGATAGCATTATTATCAATTTACAATGGAGGGGAAGGTTCGCAGGCTATGAAAGACTTGCTCACAAATTTAATGACAGCTGCGTGAATTATTATAGCTAAGAAGTGGAAGGGGCAAGCAGAATATAAAATGGAAGAAAGGTCTAAAAAGGTGTGGGCTATAGCTGTTAATGATAAATCAACATGTGCCATCGAGGTAAGATGGGAAATATGCAAGGGAAATTATTTTTGAGGAGTTATGGAGGGTGTTTGCAGAACTTGTACTGTTAAAATGGAAAAGGGTCAAAGCATCGTAAGAAGTGTTGAATTTTTGGGAGGCTGGATAGTTACAATGGGATAGTATCAGTGGTGGGGTGCACATTTTTATTCTTATTTATTTATGATTATTACTTTGTAAAAAAAGAAGAAGAAGAAGAAAGCAATGGACATGTCAGTCAACACCGTGCATTTTGATGGAACTTTCCTGAGAATGAGTTTATTAGACACAACCCATCATAATTTCAGCTATGTTTGTGTGTGGCTTGTCGCTCTTAAATGAGCATGTTCTAAACTACAGATTTTGAATACATTTCATACGTTTTCTAGGCTTCCCAATATGCAAGTTTTAATTGCCTTTCTAAGCTGCCTTTTTCAAAAGAAAAAAAGGAGTGTTCTCCTTTTGGTTTCAACTTGGTACTGATATTATATATCTGGTTTAGATGCTTAACATATTTTTGGTTGGTGTGGGGGTTTTTTAACCACAGACACCATCTTCTATTGAAGTTGGGACAGCCCCCTCCCACCTCTGCCACCCAGAAGACCACTCCAGATTAACTCTAGATTTTTGCCAGGTTGAAGGAAACATCTCTGACCTCCTAGGACAAGTGAAGAAGATAATGTATAATGATCCCTGAAGCTGGATCAAACCAAAGGCCCATGTTGTCCAGCATCCTCTTTCCTGCAGTGGTCAACCAGATGCAGTGGTCAACATAGGAACCATAGCTCTTTCTCACTATTGTTCTCTTCCAAGTGGCATTGGTGTTCTCAGGTCCCAATTGTGAGTTCCCCATTGAGGCATCTGGTTCTGCACTGTGAATACAAGAAGCTGAATTAGATGGGCCTTTGACCTCATCCAGCAGGGCTTTTCTGATGTGCTCAAGGCATTCAAGGACACCAATTTCATCTGATACCGGAGATGTTTCAGAAGGTGTAAGCAGAAAGCTTTGATCATGTCCTAGAGTTCCCTACACTGATGAAAGAGCTTTGATGATCTCCATCTCCTCCCTCTGGGTGTTTCTGATTTAAAACAGCAGATAAACTAGAGCAATTTGACTTGAGGTCAGCAAAATTAAAAGGAAGGGAGAGGGGAACAAACTGGTGTCAAGACTATTTGTGTTGCATTATTGCAACCACTTAATTTTGTGACCTCCCTCTTTTGTGCTTAGTAAAGTATTTTGCACATGAAATTGTTGACAACTAAATAAAATGTTAGCTGGAAAGAGGCGGTTTCTTGGTCACAGGAGTGGTTGACAGAACTGTATAAAAACGGAAACTTCTCCCAGTTCCTCCAACAGCTTCATCTGACTCTCTTGTCTTCGTTCCATCTTCTCAAAGAAGCAGGTAAGTCCATTTTTTGGGTGAATGTTTCTGAATTTATCAAAAAAATCACACCAAATTAAGACTAGATGGATTTTCCAGCTTCACACTTTGTAAGTGCATTGACTATGATATTGCTAGAAGAAACTCTCATTAAGCATTTTTAAGGACAGCTGAAAGGTGCCACAAGCTCTCCATCTTCTCCCTTCCTTCCTAAATGATATTTAGACAAACATACACACTGCTGTCTTTTACAGCACAAAACTCTGCATTTCACTCAGCAGTAAACCTGAATGTGTTGTGCTTAAAGGTAAAGGTAAAGGGACCCCGGACCATTAGGTCCAGTCGTGGCCGACTCTGGGGTTGCAGCGCTCATCTCACTTTATTGGCCGAGGGAGCCAGCATACAGCTTCTGGGTCATGTGGCCAGCATAACTAAGCCGCTTCTGGTGAACCAGAGCAGCCATGGAAATGCCGTTTACCTTCCTGCCGGAGTGGTACCTATTTATCTACTTGCACTTTGACGTGCTTTCAAACTGCTAGGTTGGCAGGAGCAGGGCTGTCTTATTTTTTTCAAGCTCATCCCCAACTTGCTAAACAATGGTATACTGTGGTCCAGTATGTTCAAGATACACACCGATAGCATTGCTGATAAAACATGCCTTTTCTTAAAAGAACCTTACTGTGTTATCTCATCATTTTCTTATATTTCAGAACATCAGTACTGGGGGTAGCCAGCATAGCACCTTCTAGATTAAAATGCCAAGAAAGGGGGTCATTCCTTAGTGCTGCAGCCCATGCTTTGCATGCACAAGGTCTCAGGATCAGTTCCCTACACCTCTAGGTGGGGCCAGTAATGTCTGTCAGGAACCCAGGAGAGTCATTGGCAATCAGTGTAGACCGTGGGTAGACCCCAGTCCGGGGGCTGGATCTGGCCCAATCGCCTTCTAAATCCGGCCTATGGATGGTCCAGAATCAGCATGTTTTTACATGAGTAGAATGTGTCCTTTTATTTAAAATGCATCTCTGGGTTATTTGTGAGGCATAGGAATTCATTCATTATTATTTTTTTCAAAATATAGTCCGGCCCCCCACAAGGTCTGAGGGACAGTGGACTGAAAAAGTTTGCTGACTCCTGGTGTAGACAATATTGACAACAAAACCCACATTTAGTAAATGGCAGCTATATATCTTGTTCTCATCACCCTGAACTGTTGTTCACGCTAGCTGAGTCTCATGAGCGTTGAAGTCCACGATATCAGGGCAGGCATCACTTTGATTCCCCTTGATCTGCACCATATCTGAAACTTTTTCATTCTTTGCCTTTCATGTTCCATGTTCAACTCAGTTCAGCAATTTTATGTTTTGTTTTGTTTTGGATATATTTTTTATTCCATTTTCTGTTTCACAATTTCAGATAAAGATTTTACATACTTAAAATATCAGTGACTTCCTGTCAGGGACTGGACTGAGGAGGAATGGTGGAGACCACCCACTTTCCTCCTGAAGCTTCCAAAGAAGAGGGAGACAGTATAGAATTACAACAGTGGTTTGCAGGAGGTCATAGTTCAGAGGCTGCAGAGGGGAGAAGCTGGGAAATATTGGGAGAGGAGCAGAAGGAAGAAGAAGCACTAGGGGAGATACAGCTGGCAGACTGAGTGTCTTTAGAATGCATTCCAGACCCTTCTCTCTCCCAGAACCTGGCAGGCATTGAAAGTAGGAGAGCAGAGAGCTCAGAGGCAAAAGGCATAGAGAAGCCACCATAGGGAAGACATATAATAGAAGAGACGGAGGGGGTGGGGTTTTCACTTGGAGCAACGTCATTACTCTAAGAAGCAACATTTCTAAGCCTCTCTCTGTGAACATTGAATAAAATACCTTGGTAAGAACTCCCATCGTTCAGCCTGGACACTGAGATCCAGCGCCGAGGGCCTTCTGGTGGTTCCCTCATTGTGGGAAGTGAGGTTACAGGGAACCAAACAGAGGGCCTTCTCAGTAGTGGCGCCTGCCCTGCAGAACGCCCTCCCTTCAGATGTGAAGGAAATAAGTAGCTATCCTATCTTTAAAAGACATCTGAAGGCAGCCCTGTTTAGGGAAGTTTTTAATATTTAATGCTGTATTGTTTTTAACACTCGATTGGGAGCCACTTCCCTTCTTCTCCTTCCATGGTTCATTTTGCATATCTTATATCCCTGCATATCTTACAAAACCTATACCAATCAGTTTTCCATTATTACATCCATCAAAAAATTATTTGCACTGCTGAATTTATCTTCATGCTGCCAGAGTTTTCAGCTGTACACATGCAATTTTATTTTTTTAGATTCATCTTCAGCCATGGCTCACTGTGGCCCATCCTGTGCCGTCCCATCCTGTGCTTCCACCCCCACCGTTGGGTTTGGATCTGCAGCTCTTGGTAGACGCGGAGGTCTTGGCTACGGATTGGGAGGTCTTGGCTACGGCTATGGAGGTCTCGGCTACGGCTATGGAGGTCTCGGCTACGGCTATGGAGGTGCCGAAAGAGCAGCCAATCTGGGTGTCCTGGACGGAGTCATCCCTTCATGCGTCAACCAGATCCCACCAGCAGAGGTCGTGATCCAGCCACCTCCCAGTGTCCTGACCATCCCAGGGCCCATCCTCTCTGCCAGCTGTGAGCCTCTGTCTGTTGGAGGCAACACTCCATGTGCTGTTAGTGGTTCTGGAATCGTAGGGGGTTATGGCTATGGTGGGTGGGGCTATGGGTCTGGCCTCCTTGGAAGCTCTGGGGGCTGGGGCTATGGTTTGGGCTATGGAAGGGGAGCACTCCTTGGAAGGAAGTTCGGGCGTCGTGGTAGCATCTGTTCTTAGGCCAATTAAACCTAAGAAGCATATCCTGAACTGATATCCAGGGAACTTGATATAGATCCATTTGCTAAGGTTTAGAAGACCTGCATCCAAGCAAACCGCTGCTGAAGCTGAAGCCTCTTAATTCCCCCCTCTGTATTATGAAGTTGAGAAGACCAAGAACCTTCTACAATATGCACCTTTTTTGCCTATTGTACAACTATCCTTTCTTTTTCTTTGACCTTTTCAATAAAGCTTGTTCTGCATTCTGATAACCTGTGTGTCTTTGTTTTTAAAACTCCACCTCCAGTTTCTCATAGTAAGGTGTCCAAGGTCTTACCCAATTAAAATTGGAATATTGAGGGCTGTCTTTCTCTCTTGCGCCCTGAAGGGTTTACATGGAGTGTGGAAAAAGTATGTTATATTCCTCTAGAAATACCATTCTCCTCTTATTCAACATAAGTACAGGATCTCTCTCCAGGGCACCCTGACTGGTTATACATTCAGAGAAACAACTCATAGTCGGGGTTCAAACACAACTTTTGCTGATCGTTAAAGGACCAGGAAGGATGGGTTAAATAGGTGTAAGGAAGCAGTTGTGGCCCTTCTCCTGATTCCTCTTTGCTGTCATTTGGGGGAAGTGAGTCATAATTAAATCATATGAGTGGGGGAATAGATTTCTCATAACAACTGGGCAGGTTATAGGGTTCAAGAAGAGTCACTGATACACCTAGATTGGAGGTATCAAGTGACCCTCTAGAGTCTAGACCAGGGGTCAGCAAACTTTTTCATCAGGGGGGCGGTCCAATGTCGCTCAGACCCTGTGGGGGGCCAGACTATATTTTTTGTTGGGAGGGGGGGAATGAACAAATTCCTATGCCCAACAAATAACCCAGAGACTCATTTTAAATAAAAGCACACATTCTACTCATGTAAAAATACCAGGCAGGCCCCACAAATAACCCAGAGATGCATTTTAAATATAAGGACACCTTCTACTCATGTAAAAACATGCTGATTCCCAGACTGTCCATGGGCCGGATTTAGAAGGTGATTGGACCGGATCTGGCCCCTAGTTTGCCTACACATGGTCTAGACATTACTGGCCTCCAGCTCCTGTCATCCCTGTCCTTGGTTCAGGATTGCTGGATCTGGTGCAAGTTAGAGTCCAACAACTTCTGCAGAGACAGAGCTTCCCCATCCCATCCAATACCTATAAACATGAAGTGGGAGTCACAAGTCTTGCCCTAATGGTGAGAACTATGGACATGGAAAGAACAGAAGACGAGAAGAAGAGAGAGCCCTGCTGGGTCAGGTCAAAGGCCCTTCTAATCCAGCATCCTGTTCTCATAGTAGCTAATTAGTTCTATGGCAAACCTGCACACAAGACATGAACCCAATATCCCTCTCCCACTTGTGATTCCAAGCAACTGGTGTTCAGAGTCATGCCGTCTCTTGTACGAGTGTAATATATAGCCATGGATGAAGTCAAGGTCTAAATGCATTTGATATTTTTCAACAAGTGCTAAATAATTTACTCCCCCCTCCTCTTATTTGTTCAGAAATATGTTTCTGTATAACCATAGAATCATAGAATCATAGAGTTGGAATAGACCACAAGGGCCATCGAGTACAACCCCCTGCCAAGCAGGAAACACCATCAGAGTACTCCTGACATATGGTTGTCAAGCCTCTGCTTAAAGACCTCCAAAGAAGGAGACTCCACCACACTCCTTGGCAGCAAATTCCACTGTCGAACAGCTCTTACTGTCAGGAAGTTCTTCCTAATGTTTAGGTGGAATCTTCTTTCTTGTAGTTTGGATCCATTGCTCCGTGTCCGCTTCTCTGGAGCAGCAGAAAACAACCTTTCTCCCTCCAGATAGGCATAACCATGTTATCACATCGTTGCAGTGTGAAAGTGCCTATCTAATCAAAAAGTCAACAATACATGAAGAGAGAGAGATAGAGAATAGAGATCCTTAAGTTCAATGAGGACATATAATGTCAGGCTCGAGGGATTTTCTCCTCCCCCGGTAGCATCAAGGAAGAAACAAGAAAGTTCGTATTTATGTTTTTATTCGGTCATCGTGGTGAAAGGCAAAGAATTCTAGTCCTTTACTCCATACTGATGTTGCTCACTCTGAGCTCCTCCCCTTCCTTCCCCAGCAACAGCCTGTGGCTCTACTGGGGGCTTCAGGAGTCAAATGTTGTTGAGCCCTTGGCTCTTGAATTCTCATTGAGCGGCGTGTATGTGGGGATGGTGAAGATTCTGTGCTTTCCAAGGACATCTCTGCTGGCAGTTCTCCAACTCCCCCTCCTTCTCCTGACACCTCATAACTTGGCAGCTCTGAGTTCTACTGTAACTCAATCCTGTCTCCCTCTTCTCTTGAAACTGCTGGAGAAGGGGGGGGGGTGATACCACCTCCTCCGAGGTCCGAGGGAAGCAGAGGAGAAGGAGGGGGCAATCCCCAGCCCTCCTCTTCAGTCCGGCCCCTGACATATAAATAGGTGTCACCAGTCCATCCATTAATATAATAACTGTGAAAAAGGAAGTATATAATAACAAATACTTAGCTAAGAAAAAGAAAAGGGGAAAAGAAAGGAGGGAGGTAAAAAAAGCATACCTTTAAATAAACTTTCTTATTTTAAAAATAAATTCATATTTATAGATACTCAAAAAACAAAGTAATAGCCATCTATATTAATATGAAAGAAATATCTGTGGAAATCAATGTGGAGGAGCAGAAAATATAAATTGCATACTTTTTTCACAGATTAATCACAGACATATTACCAGCTGTGTGTGTGTGTGTGTGTGTTGTGTGTAAAGTAATTCCAAATTCATAAATTAAGCTCCCACCCTAATTAAACACTATATACAGTAAACCAGGCAAAAAGTATTAGATCAAAGAGAATAAATTATATGGAGGAGTGTTTTCTTCAACTTTCTTATCCCCCAAAAATATTTAAAATGTCCATCTTTTAACTATTCCCCCCCCCCTCCTTGCTGGATAACAAGAACTCTTCTCTGACAAGTTGCTGCAGTCAAAATGGCAGCTTGGAACTTCCTCATTTTTCCAATTTTGATGCCTTGGCAGAGCCTTGAGATGACATGACTTCTGGTGCTTCGTAAGGACCTGGAAGTCATGTCAGAGGCCTTGCGGTGCAGGTGCTGAGCACCCACAACAATGTTTTGTGGGTGCCCTGGCCCCCAAGAGTTGGTGCCAGTGCCTGGATGCTATCCTTTGTTCTCTCAGTCTCTCCCTTCCCTGCCTCTTACTCCGAGTCCTTCACCAACAATCCATCACTTTAATGTGTGTGTAATTCTTGGGTCCCAATAATGGCCCATAGCTGAGGACACCAAGGTAAACAAAAGGGGTCTGGGAGCCAGGAAAGAATATAAAAAGAAGAAAAGAGGAAAGAAAGAAGAAAGAGAAAGGCACTTCCAGTTTTCCATCTGCCAGTTACATAACAGAAATTATTCAAAATATTCACTCCAAGAAAGCGTGTTCTCCTTCATGGAGAGCATGTGTTGCGGTGGGGGCCGACAGGACGCTCCAAAGTTGTGGGGCGGGCTAATTGATCATTGGCCACTGTTGTGATTGGGCTTCCCTTGTTGTTGGGATGATGTTGCCATTTGATGATTGACAGGCAGAAATGTTAAAATTCCCTGCACGAGGCGTAGAGCTTCCTCTTTTCATTCCGTGCATCGGCTTGCCCGTCCCCCCTCCCTATATTTAAGGGTTGTTCGCTTTGACCTTGCTATGCCTGTCATGGGGCTGTCTGCTCCTGGGGCAGGGGCTGGGTAGGAATTTTGTCCATCTGGCTGATTGGCTGGGGCCATTTGGTTTTTGCCTACTGTGTAGCAAATCGTCACAACTTGTAAGGTTGCGGTTAGGCATTGGTTTATGGTTTGGTTGGTTGAGGGGCATGGATTGGCTGTGCCTGCTCCTCTAATGCCGCTGCTGCAAGGGATTCCGTTAAAGGAATACAGGGGCTCATTATTGCTTTTGTCGAACCCTGTCAAGGGGCTAGGGCCACGCAAAAGCCCCTGGTTGCATTTGGGGAAGGCTGAGGGCAGGCTCCCTGCTCTGTCGCTACCCTCAAATTTATTCCCCTTTTCTGACTTTCGCAGGCTTGCGAAATATCAGTCTGTCCCCCACTGGGGGGCAGATAGTCGCAACCAATGCCTAAGCAACCACTCACATTTTTAGTATTTTAATAAAGTTGTGGCCAAAATTATGCCAAAAAACCTTAAACAAAAATTCTGTGTGTTGTGTGAGTTATTTGGGGTGGCCTGGGGACCTCGACACGCAAAACGTCCAGCTGTTCTACTTCCTGCTAAGCAATATTTTCCCAATCCCCAGATTCTATAGTTTCAATATAGGGTTTAGCGCTAAGTATACAATTCCTGGTAAAAGGTTTCTGCAATTTCTCACATCTTTATCCTTATATTTAATTGATGGAATAAACATTTGGATCTGTTTATCTTTCAGATGTTTTGATAGTGATTTAGATGGTTTATTGCTGTATTTCAACCATCTTTGATTTGTTTTTACAGTTGGCAAAGCATTCCAGTTTTTCGGCTTGGATATTTTGAATGTTCTCTGTTGTTCTTAACTTCATACACCATGTTTGCTTATGCTAATGTGTCTTTTCTTAATATTTAAACCATTTTTTCTGCTTGAGAGAATCTCTTATACATCTCTGCTGCTGTTTTTGTTTTATCAGAACACCTCTGATATTAGATTCAGTTTCATCCCATACATGGCCATTTTGTTTATGCACTTAAAAAAAACAATCTAAATATTGTTCTATTTGTGTCTTTCTGTCTGCTCTTACTGATATACTGTTATTCATTCTCAAGAGTTTATTATTACAATTATTTGACATTTTGATGTTCAATTTTATTAGTGCACGATCTGCATAAATCTTTAGTAATACTGGAATAGATTTCACTCAAGTGACCAAATTAGCAGCTATTTTAAAATATCACATTCATCAGGATCTATGAGCTTGCAAGTAAAATGTATAATCCCTTAAAGTTGGAGTATAAAACCTCCAAACATCTGTCAATTTTTTGTTGGCAAACATGCCTTGAGCCACATTCCAGTTTTAATTTAGACAAAAAGTCACTTCAGTCAGCTGGACAGCTTGCTGTGAGGAACTGAGGCCAAGTGTTACAAAAACCAACACACATGGGTTACCATAATGCGCCAAAAGCTTTATTGAAAAGATTCAAGAAATGACATTG